ACTACTGAGTTACTTAGGTTGTTGGCGAAGGAAATTAGTAACAAATTGTATTTAATATTTTGCACTAATGATAAAAAAATTAGTTTTCACTTGTCTCAGACTATTATAACATCACAAGACATAAAGTTTTGATCAACTAATTTAGTCACAACTTATATTTAATATTTTTTACTAATATTCAATCTATCACAATTATTAATTATTTATTTTATAATGATAATTTTTATACTAATAGAAAACAAGGTTTAATCGATAGAAATTTCTATCGATTATAAGGGAAATTCTAATTCACTTATAAGCTCTCTATTTAAGCTCTCTATTTAATGTTGGTCAATTCACCCAATGCTTTAATGAAATCAGCTTAAGTGGTTGCCTTTGTGCATTTCTAGAATGCCCTCTGCAATTCCTTGCCTCGATTATCCTTTTGGAAGTTGGCATATATGTGTCTTGCACATATTTTATGTTTAGCATCTGGAAACAGCTTTTTAATTGCATTCATTAGCCTCTGCCATGCACATTATAATGTATTAAAGGCCAGACAAATGGATAAAAATAAATTATTGTTACAACAGAAGGTCCCAACTTGGTCTCCGAACTTTAAAAGTACAGGGATCAAGTTGGAACCTTAGTTAAAACAAAGAAACAAAGCTAGCAGTAACTTTTTTTTGGTCTAATATAAATGTGAATCTATTTTCTCTACTACTTTGCATATCTGATTGTAGTTCTTCCAAAAACCGTGTCTAAGTTTATGTCTTCTCAACTTGGACTATTGCCCATGCCAATGGGTACATCTAAGCATTGGCATTTCATTCAACTGCCACCAACAAAACTCCTTTGTATGCTCCCTTAAGAAAAGCTCCATCAACCCCTATTACGCGCTTATAGCCAACAACAAATCCAAGTTTCATAGCGCTGAAGCATACATACATTCTCATGAAGATAAGATTTGCATCTGTTGTTAGCCTTGATGCTTGAATGAGAATTGTGGCTGCTGGATGTTTTCTCCTCAACTCAGTAGCATAGTCCCATAGTTTACTATATTCCATCAAACAATTTCCTTTAAACACACGGGCAATTTTCTTTCCTTCTTGCATTGTTTTCTGTTGTACCTATGATTTTGATGATTACAAAACACATTTGAGTGACTAATTGGTTCATTTAAGTGTGTAGTTAAAATGTCAAAAGATTGCAATAAGTAAACTTGGACTGTACTAAAAATGGACCAAAAGGCTTAAAAATGTGCAGAGAGTTGGTTGTTGAAACTTGCAGCCGGCTGTAGAAGTGCAGAGAGCCAATTCTGGAAGCTGCAGCAGGCTCTACAGGTAAAAAGTTAAAAGCAAGTTGTTTGGTGCGCGCGGAGAAAAGACGCAAAGCCGGCTCCAACTTTGCAGCCGGCTGTGAGGGTGCATTTAATGCACAACGGTCGAGTTATGTGAAGATTTATTTAATGTGTTTAAAGTTGGAATCCCAAAGCTAGCTCTAGGCTTTGCAGCCGGCTGTGGAAGAAAACAGAATGTGCAGGAACCCGTAAAGCCCGTTGTAGAATTTTTAAGTTGGCTCTACGGAAAAAACAGAATGCAGGAATCCCACAAAGCCGACCGCAAAAAAGGTAAGCCAACTGTACAGAGCCGGCTCTAGGAAGTTAAGCCGACTCTCTCGATAATCCTGCAACTCAAGCTTTGCGTCCTACAGAGCATTAAATGACCCCCAACGACTAATAACGGCTATTTTCGACCATGGGGTTATAAATATGGTTGGTAGAAGATCTGAAGGAGGTTAAGAGAGCATTGTATTGAATATCTTTACCTACCTACAGGAGCTTTAACTTGAGTTTTTGATCTTTGAGAGATCTTTACTTGTAATCCTCTTCTTGTTCTATTTGTGAGTGATCTGGGTGTGATTAATCCTTCAAGAGTGATTTGTAGAGAGGATTCATGGGGTTTAAGTGTAAAGGGGTGAGATTTGAGAGAAACACCCTTCTTCTTGTAAAAGGATTAAGTGACTCCTTTAAGCCACCATTGTTTTCTTAGTGGAGAATGTAGAGGAAATCCTTGGTGAATGAAGCCAAGGTAGAAGACTAGGTTCCAAGTGGTTGGACCGAACCTCTATAAAATCATTGAGCAAGCTCTTCTTCTCTACTCTCTTTAATTTTGGTTTTGTGGTTGCAAAAAGAGAGTTTTTGGAACTCCAATTCACCCCCCCTCTTAGAGTACATTGAGTCAACATTTTCCAATTAACTCCAAACTAGTGTTTCTCTGAATGGTTTGAAAAATGTCATCTGCTTTCAAGTAAAGAGAAGCAAAACCCATCTTCTTAACAAAATACTTTGATGCACTTGTTGAGTTGCATCTCTTACTTGTCAACTCCTCACTACAGGTATGCTCATGAATATATGTCTTCACCATCCAAGAATTTGTCATCGCATCCTTTGATAATAATATTTTCCAATCACAGCTTGAGGCATGTTTGCAAACAGCCATAATCCGTTTGTTGTCATTCTTCTTCCATTTAATATCCCTCATTTGCATCATGTTGCATCATGTTGCATCTATCAATAGCAGCTTTAAATTATGCCTTGCTCACAAAAATCATCCCCAAACTTATATCTGGAAGAGCATCTTCAACTTCTTCATAAACTACGTGTGTAGATCTCTTTCTAGAAGCATGATCAGCATCACTTCCGTCATCCTCATCAGTAGAAATGTAACTATATTCTACATCACTTTGAATTTCATCACCATCATCATGGACTATTGCAAGGGTATTAGGACTTGCTACATTCACACCTAAATTAATTGAATTTACATACAGTATATGAAAACATAACCCAAAAAAAAAAAAAAAAATTACAACTGTGAAAAGATAATGACATACCACCATCATGATAGGAACTAGGTCTTGCATTATCCTCTTGCAAATTATAACAAAAACACTTGACCTTCCTTCTAGCCTCCATAGCCTTCTCATCTTCATTATTTGTTAACTTAAGGATATCCAAAACAAAATCAACATTCCCTTCATCACCTTCTACCTCTTTGTCCCCATTGAGATCTTCATTATGGTCATCAGCCACATTATCACTTTTTGATGCACCTGCACGTTCCTTCTCGACACCAGCTTCATCTTCCTTTTATAACCAAACACCTTGTGCAGTAAAATCTTGTCCAGGTTGATAGTAATCCTCAACTATACTCTCCTTGTCACGCCCCAGAATGCAAATCCGAGGCGCGACAGACGCCGTGCACTCGTGAGACGGGTCCCACAACCACACAAGGCTCGAAACCTATTCAAATCCCAAACTCTATTCTCGCAACATCTATTTTAATACCATAAATTCAAGGTAGAATCTATCTTCCAAGAATGATAATATATTCCATAAATCTATGTCCAACATGACTTAAACTTAAAATCACAAGGTGAAATCTATCTTACTAAAAAAACATGATTTATTTCTAAAATTATATCAATCTCGAAATGGCTAGCCTTCTAACTCGTCACTTCCCGTGGTTTCCCCATCCTCGGTTTCATTTCCTGAAATGGTGGACAAGAAAAAACTATGAGATAAACTTAGTAAGTAAATGTATGGATAGCCCGTGGGTAAAAATTGAGCATTTCAGATAAACAGTTTAAACATAAACGGAATGCTCAATGATAACCATTATGCAGAATAAAGTTCAGTAGTAGTCAATTAAACTTATAGTATGCCAACAAGTGTAATCAGAAAACGGATACAAGTACGGGAACGAAATAGACGTCTCCTCTATAGGTCCCAGTGTTTAAACCTCCCACTGGCAGGCAACAGGAATTACTAGTGTATAACTCCCACTAGTAGGATTATAGGAATGAACTGGTTCTATCAGAAACATGTCGACATGTGCTAGCGTTTGACCTCCCACTAGCGGGCAACAGAATAACATGACCAGATCGAACACAAAACAGGCTGAATTTAACAGAAAATCAGTCTTTACAATTAACTTTCAAATCATCAGGACAATCACATGAACTTCAAGTAGGCATGCTCAAATCCATAAAAATCATAAAAATTTTCAGTTCAAATCAGTCATACTTACTTTTGCATAAAACGGGTTTAGTCCCGCCACCACTTCAAAAACAAGTCAAAACATCTTTTAAAAACAGTGCGGGTATTACCATAAATTTACTTACCTCACTCCGCAAAACTGAGCACTCAATTCACGTACTAAACTGACAGAATGATCAAGAATCTAATCAAAATATTCAAGAATTAATAACCAATTTCCTTTTTATTTTCCCATCACGTTCTCACAACCAACAAAACCCAATTCAAGCTAATTTACACTTAACTAAGCTTAAAAACATAGCTTAATCTACCAAAATTCCCCATTTCTCACGGGCAGGAGAGCATGGCTTTGGCAAACCACTACTCACACACACGGGATTTTCACACAAAACATCACAGCAGCCAATTCAAGTAATTTCCACATAATTTAAACAACAAAACACATTTAAGGGCTGCCAACTCATCCCCTACTTCCAGCAAGTTTCGAACAGCAAAAGGGCAAATTCAAAAGCAAAAACCCAATCAACACAAGGCAACAACTACATGGATAAATTGGACTTAGAAGAGCCGGCAACTTACCAGAATTCCAGCAAGCAAACCGGAGCTGGCAGGGAGAAGAAGCCGGCGGCATTTCTGCAGGGGGCTCATGGGCTACCTCAAAATTGAGGGAAATAAAAGCAATTAAGGTAAACCCAGCCTAAATCAAGGTTAAAGAGAGGGATTCATGGCTAGATCTTACCAGAAAAAGACCAGAAATCACGGATAGCAGAGGCCGACGGACAACAAGGGGAAGAACAGAGCAGATATGGGATTTTCTGGGTTTAGGAGAGTGTTCTAGGTCCTAAATCTTGTTATTGAACAAGAAAGAAGGAGAATTTCAAGCCCCTTTTTCGGTTTTCAAAGGAAGAGGAAGTCGGTGGCTTTGGGGGGGGCTTGTCGGGCTGCACGAAGAAGAAGAGCAGAGCAGAAACGTGTATGGCTGGGAAGAAAAGGAATGAAAATATCAGCTGATCCTTATCCTAATTTCCCTTCTTTTAAGTCCTTGAACTTTGAAAATATTTGCCATTAAGTTCATTAATAGTATTTCTTCACAATTAGGTCCCTAACTCTCACTTGATGCTCTAGAAATTTTGGGGTATTACACTCCTTTTGGCCTTCCTCCACATGAACCTCACCATCAATCCTTTTACCATTAGTAGGACCCTTAGTCTCAACCCCTTTACCAACATTATTAGTTTTCGGACCCTTGTTTACATCATCGCCAAGTTCTGAAAAGTAAGAAATTGTTCAACCATAAAAGGGAAATTTGGTATATGAATTACATATATGTGAACCTTATTATGAACCCTCAGTATGTCTAAGATTTCTCTAATTGAAGCATCACCTATTACTTGCTTCAAGCCATTATTGAGTGCCTTTTTAGGTTCCAAATACCATATATGCTCTACCATATATGGATCATAATGTGCTATTGAAATCTTTTGGAACAACTCCACCACAATTAATTTATCTATGTCTACATGCAGTCCCAGCACTCTCCATCAACATATTTAAGTCCATTATCCTGTATTAACCTACCACTTATATGAACAAATATCACATGCTTCTTGGTCCCCCAATCACCTTATTCAATAATGCAAATAAAAAATTCAATATTTTACATAATAAGTGCATCTCAACAACCAAGCTTAACGACAATAAACAATAAAAAATAGCAACGAATTATAGAATCTTATTGCTTCCATACAGGTAAACACGCTGACCCATGAAAAACACATAAGGTGTGGACCAAATGCCCCTTTTTAGAAAGCAAGTCAATAAACAGAGATCCGAAAACCCCACTTTACCCACTTTCTTACGGCACTCATTTGACACTAGGACAATACAATAACAAGACAACACCACCCATTAAGCATAACCTTCACACATCTCAAAATAAGATTTGCAAACAAAAAGTGTACCTCATTCCCATTGCCATTTGAATCCCCTTCCAGGTTGATATCAATGATTTCTGCAACCATTGCTACTCAGCTTCTCTTCTCATTCAACGATCAATCACGACAAAGAGTAAGAAGACTTGATTGTAAGGTGAATCGACAGGAAAAGAAGAGATAATGCTCTATTTTGAACTATTTTTAAGATAGAAAAGGAAAGGAAAAAGGTACAATCGATTTTTAGGGTTTAAAATAAGATCATTTAAACTCCCCCTTTGTCTAAGATTGGGTTTTTTCTTTTCTTTTCTCACGTGGGAAGAGTGACGTGGAGGGTGTCATTAAGTCCACGCAAGCATTTTTTACATCTTAGCATATCCATGTCAGTTATTCCCGTTAAGTTAACATGCCATGCGAGCAAAAATTAACAGAAAGACTAAAAATGGGTCAGATTTTAAAATTAAGGGACCAAAAAAGAGATTTTTTTAGTATATGGACCAAAAAAAAAATTTTTTCAATAGTAGAGGGACCAAAAAGAGTATTTAACCAAAAATAAAACAAGAGCAAAAGCTAAAAAGTGCATTAAGTGCATTAGAACCAATGTTTTTGGACCCGGCTCGGCCCGGCCGATTCAATCGGTTCAACCGGACCCGGACCTGAAAACGGGCTGGTCGAATACTTCAACCCGTTTAAGCAAATGGCCCGTTGAAACCCGTTGAAACCCGTCAGACCCGTCCTGCCCATTAAACTCGTGCAACCCACTGCAACCGGCTAGGCTGAAATTTTCATCATCTTCTCGTTCGTCGATTGTCCGTCGTCGTCCGCCGATCATCCACCGATTGTCCGCCGATCATCCACCGACTGTCCGTCGATCGTCTCTTCCACCGATCTTCTCGTCCGCCGATCCTCTCCTCCTTCGCTGCACTTCTTTTCTTTCGTCGATCATCTTCATCTCCCTCGTCTGTTCTGCTCAAAACGATCTGTATCGTTTTCGGGTGAAACCATGAAGGTAAGGTATAAAAGCAAAATTCAATAAAAATGCCCAAAAAAAAAAGTTTTTTAGTTGACTTTAGTTGACTGGTTAAACCAATCGAGTGAACCGGTTCAATCTGCTGACCCGAAACCAATGGTCAAAACGGGCCAACCACCGGGCCGGATCCAAAAACATTGATTAGAACTTGGAAGTCGGTTGCCCGTTTGAACGTTTAAAGATATTGCAACGTGTCAGCAAGAGAAGGGCTAGCGTTGGAGAGAGTGATAATGGGCGAGTGCCCTTAGCATTGCTCTCGGTAAAAATGGGGCCCAGCCCAAGCTTGAGCACCTTACAACTCGGCTCAGCTGTATTCATTTACAACTCTAAATTGCGGCTTGAATTCTATAGTATTAACATTAATTAATTGTTTAGGGTAAAAAGAAATTTTTTTTATTAATTACTAAAATTAATTTTTAACTATTACTACAAAAAAAAAAAAAACTACTTTACTTAATATATCCGCAATTTTAATTATAACAACTTACAGATAGATTTCAATATATAGGTGGAGGGGTACTCCATCCTGGTAACAGTAAGCCTTTTTTTTCATAAAGTAAGATGTAATAATTTCTTGATAAATTCTATGGTAAAGGTTGAACTTGTGTAATTTTGTATCCGCCTATTTCTCTTATAATTTAAATAATTTGTTTTCTCCTAT